GTAAGCTTCCTAACAAATTCCGGTTTTCCGATGAAAGGAAAATTCACAATGTTAAAAGGCCCCATGTTCCATCTTTTGGGTCCCGGAATGCGAGCCATAAGCTTTCCGGTGGTCAGACAGGCCCAGCTGGAAACAGTAAAACAAAAACTATCAGGGATCCTTATTTCCATTCCAACGCAATTTCAACACCTGCATACCTGAATGAATAAAGAGTGTACATGTAGGACGATGGGTTTGAATATGAATATCTGTTGTGCATTTTTTTTGAGATTCAGAATCAAGTATTTTTAGTATGTCCTCTTGTCACTTGAACTCGTATGTGCACTGACTTGAGCGCAAGTTGCTCCAAATGCGCTAATAATTATTCCAACCAAGACGGATCTGAAAGTGATGATTGGAAGGCGATCTTCTGTCTCCGAATTTTTCTCGTCCAACTCATCCTTATTTCGGTCCAGATTGAGGTCAGAAGTCTCTTCTTTGGCGTTCAACAGATCTTTGGATTTCCCCATGCTTCCTGTGTAAATACTGTATGAGAGTCCTTTGTAGCTCTTTCGTTTTCGAGGAGATTTCGGTTGCTTTTATAGAACGCCAACGAGAGGTAAGCGTGATACTAAGAGCACGTTCCAGAAAGCATTCCGAGGATGACTTCGTTTATGATTTCGGAATCATAATGGCACATTTTTCAATACTTTGGCACGTTTGGCAGGTACGTACGCTTTACAGGTAAGTTTTATCGGAGTAGGCAGTTTGAGGTTTATTGAGTTTTGGCCAAGACTCAAGAGCAATCCGACACATTTATCTCGAGTTTTTCAGGTTGGACTGAAGGTTTGTCGGAGTGGAGTAATCCTTGCTCAAACAACTACCAAAAACTGCGGCATCTCTCGGCTCCTCAGCGAGACACTCCACCAGCTACGCAGAGTAACTTGGACGGGTAGTCGCGCACCGCACGTGCGTTTTCCCTATTCGGAACCCCAGGATTGAAATGGTAGGCCCCATCATGAGACCAGTTCAGTTAGATGTGAAAGAGCATCCCTGCAAGTCCCGGACTGCATTAAAGAACTATTAAATCTTGTCGCTAAACAAGCCTTAAGTCTGATTTTCTCAACTGAAAAACGTGCAACTGGTGACAAGATGCTTGAAGACATGAATTATAACGCTCATGAAGCATTGATTGCGCTTGCGAACGGATGGGCACCAAGAGTATTTTTCCGCGCTGGATACGGATGGAT